TGAGTGTATAGAATTGTAACTGATTTTTGTGTGTTGATGTTGTATCCTGTAATTTTGCCAAATTTATTAGTTCTAACATCTTTTTTTGTGGCATTGTTAGGGTTTCCTATATATAAGATCATTCCATCTGCAAACAGATAATTCTTTTTCTTCCTTTCCAATTTGTTTGCTCTTTCTTTCTTTTCCTTGCTTTGGTTAGGAATTTCAGTACTATATTAAATGGAAGGAGCAATTGATGGCATACTTGCCTTTTTCCTGATCTTGAAGTGAACACTTTCAGTTTTCCACCATTGAGTATGATATAGTTGTAGGTTTTTCATATATGGCCTTTAGTATGTTGAGGTACATTCCTTCTATACCTAATTTGTTGAGAGTTTTTTAACATAAAAATGTTGATTTGTTTAAGTGCTTTTTCTGTACCAATTAAGATGAACATACATTTTTTTTTACCTTCATTATGTTAACATAGTATATTACATTGATAGATTTTCATATGTTGAACTACCCTTGCATCTCAGCAATACATCACTTGATCATGGTGTATGATCTTTTTAATGTAATGTTGAATTTGGTATTATGTTTAGAATTTTTGCACCAATATCTACTAGGGATATGGGCCTGTAGTTTTCATTTCTTGTGATATCTTTGTCTGATTTTGTTATCAGGATAATGCTGGCCTCATAAGATGAATTTTGAATTAATACCTCCCCATCAGTGCTTTGGGAGAGTTTGAGAAGAGATTATATTTTACATGTTTGGGGGAATTCTTCAGTGAATTAATTTGATCATGGTCTTTTTGTTGTTATTGGGTGGTTTTTGATTACTAAGTCAATCTTACTATTTATATAGTTATGTTTATTTCTTCAAGAGTCAGTCTTGGTAGGAATTTGATTTCTTTTAAGTTACTCAGTTTATTGACATATAGTAGTCTCTCATGACCCTGTTTATTTCTGTGACATCAGTTGTAATGTCTCCTCTTCATTTCTGATTTTTCTTATTTGAATTTTCACTCTTTTTTAAAAAAAAGTTATTCTAGCTAAGAGATTATCAAATTTGTTGGTTTTTTTTTTTAAAAAAAAAAACAAGTCTTAAGTTTGGTTGAAATTTTCTATTGATTTTCTCTTCTCTATTTTATTTATTTATGCTCTAATCTTTATTAATTTCTTTCCTTCTGTTAACTTTGTGTTTAGTTGTTCTTTTGCTAGCTGCTTGCAGTGTAAAGTTAGATTGATTATTTGAGCTTTTTTTTTTTTGTAGGTGGAGGCATTTGGTCTTATATCTTTCGGTCTTCATACTGCTATTGTTGCATTCCATATGTATTTGTATGTTGTGTTTTTATTTTCATTTGATTAAATATATTTTGTAAACTTTTTCTTGTGATCTCTTCTTTGAGCCATTGATTGTTCAAGAGAGTATTGTTTAATTTCCACGTATCTGTGAATTTTATAGTTTTACATTGATTTCTAGTTTCATTCCACTGTGGTCAGAAAGAAAAACTTTTTTTCTTTTTTAAAATATATTTTTAATTATTTCAGAAAGGAAAGGCAGAGAGAGAGATAGAAACATCAATGATGAGAATCATTGATCAGCTTGCCTTCTGCATACTCCCTACTGGGGATTGAGCCTGCAACCCAGGCATGTGCCCTTGCCTGGCATCAAACCTGGGACCCTTCAGTCCGCAGGCCGATTCTTTATCTACTGTGCCAAACTGGCTAGGGCAGAAAGAAAACTTGATATGATTTTAATCATCTTAAATTTAAGGCCTTTTATTGTTTATATTTTTTATTGATTTCAGAGAGGGAGGGAGAGGGAGATAGAGAGATAGAAACACCAATGACGATAGATCAACAGCCTCCTGCACACCCACAATGGGGATTGAGTCTGCAACCCAGGCATGTGTTCTTGACTGGAATTGAACATAGGACTCTTCAGTCCGCAGGCTGATGCTCTATCTCTTGAGCCAAACTGGCTAGGACTGTTAAGGCCTTTTAATGACTCACCTGCGATCTGTCCTGGAGAATGATCGATATGCATTTGAGAAGAATATATATGCTGCTGCAGTTGGATGGAATGTTATATATGTCTGTTAGTCCAAGTGTTCTATAGTGTTGTTGAAATTCTCTGTTCTTTTTTTTATGCTATCTGATTAATCTATTGATCAGATCTATTAACAATTATTCTATTATTGTGTTACTGTCTTTCTCTTTTAAGTCTGTCAGTGTTTACTTCATATATTTGGGTACTCAGTTGTTAGGTACAGATATGTTTATAATTGTTATATCTACCTGGAGAATTGACCCTTTCATTATTTTACATATTTTTTATTTGTCTCTTATTACAATGTTTCGACTTAATGACTATTTTATGTGCTACAAGTATGGCCGTCCTTGCTCTCTTTTGGTCATCATTTGCATGGAGTATTCCTTTCCATCTTTCCGTTTCAGCCACGTATGTCCTTATACCTAAAGTGAATCTCTTGTAAACAGCTGCACTGCATTTTATAATCACTTTTTTGCTTTCTTTGAGATAGCCTTCATAGCTATCCGTAGTAACGTAAGCCTTTATTTAAAATGTGAAGAATAACTTAGGTCTCCTTTGAGTGAATAACTCTACCCATTTTTAAAGGTTATTGATGCCAAGTAACACAAGCTTCAAGGACAGGAAAGATTGTTATTACTCTAGTCATGAAATGCATTTGGCTGTCGATCAGCTTTCCTAGCAATGAATACAAATGCACTAGTAGACCCAGCCAAGAAGCATTAGTAGATCACACAGCCTGACATAAGGAGCCAGCTTTTCACTTATGCAAATTAGACTCAGTTGATTGAATAAATTAAAACTAATTTGGTACAGTGTACACTTTTTTAATAGGAACCTATTGCATAATATAAATTTGCTGATTGTTCCTTCATTGAACATTTTGATACCGTAATATAATTACATTTTAAATCGTCTTGATCAAAAGTTTGACTTTTTTAGTATGTGTTTACTTAATAAGGCATTCAAATATTTTTAGCACTAAAATGTGCCAAGCATAATGCGAATGAGGATATATAAATGCTAGATACAAATATTGCCCTCATGGAACTTCTAATCTTGTGGAAGGGGACATATCATAGCATTAATGCATGCAGTGGTAGAAATAAGTGCATGTTAGTAGCACAGGGTCGGAGGTAATCACATAAATATGATAAGAACATTCATCTGCATAAATATATTGACATACATCCTTTCCCAAACATATTCTAAATAAGCTAACACACACACACACACACACACACACACACACACACACACACACTCAACGAAAGCCATAAGGCATATTCCCTTCCTCTAGGGACCATCTTCATCAGGCCAGGTGAGTAGCTGATGAACCTGGCTCAGAGTAACATACCTTACAGAAGGCTGCTTATCTTAGCTACCTTTCTTTATCTTGCTTTCCACAGCCCAGTTTCCCAGAGTCAAAATCTCTACATATCTATACACACAAAGAGATCTTCATAACTCCCTTGACAAATTTATAAATTTCTGGGGTTATTTTTGTAAACTATGCAACTTTTTAAATAATACAAAACATCTGTATGCTATATATATCCTTCTCAATGAACCTTACCATTGATCTACTCACTTAGTATTAAATGAAATACTGGAAACCTGAGAGTGGGAGGGGATCAAGTGCAAAGAGGCTCAAGGAAACTGTTGAGGGTGAAGGAGCAGTTGTCTGTCTTAATTTGGTGGTGGCTACATGATAATTACAATTACCAAAAGCATTATACTCCCCACTTAAAATTGATGAATTGTATTATCTGCAATTAAAGCCTTAAACTACAAAAATGAGGAAAAAAAGTAAATAATTTTGTCTTTGAAAACTGTTGAGTTCCCAGAATTGTACATGTTCTATAGAAAAGCAGGTGGCTTATACTAAATCAAAAAGGGGGGCTGAAAAATATATTCTATATATGTATATATATTCTAGATAACCATTATGTTTCTTAAGCTGAGTAGCAGGTAGGAGGCACTGGGTAAATGGGTATTGGTTTTATTTTTTTTTCAACTATGTGTGCGTGTATGTATGTGTGTGTGTGTATATTTATATATATATATATATATATTTCTTCAGAAAGAAATATACTCCTTCAAAAAGCTAAAAGTACAATGACATCTTTAAGTCTCTAAATAATAGTACATGTATAGAATTTTTAAAATGTTGGATGAAACTCTATATGTGCAAGAAGGAGTTGGTTCAGCTTTATGTGTTTATATTTATGTATAATTTTTGCAGTTTGTAAATATAATTATCTTTAAAGCTTCTCTGTGAGTGAACTGTAGATGTTATGATAGTTTGAAAGGCAAATATGTTCCGTACACTGAGCATAATGAGATAAAGAGGTGGCCTGTAGATCTCCGTCACTGACATGAATGATGGTCAGTAATTATCAACAGCATTTATTTATATTTAAACTCTACTTGCTTTCATGCTACACCACAAAATCATCTTAATGAATTTGGAGATAGTCTTAAATGCCAGGACAGCACTTTGCAAGAAGAATATTTGGTCTCCTGGAGAAAACAAACAAATAAACAAATAAACAAAAAACCTGTTTGATCCATCTTGAGCTCAATGGATTATATTCATTTAAAGATTACCTGAAAGTTTAAATTCACAATCCATCTCTCTTATAGGCGAATCAGATTTAAGTAATTGAAAGCTTGCCAGTGCTTTTGCTTTTTCATCTTTCCTGCATCTAAATGATAGCAGTCAGCAATAGCTTCCCACTTTCCAAAATGTTCTAATCCACACAGGGTTTGTTTATAACAAAAAAATGAACTCTTCTTCCCATGAATAGCAGTTTAGTATCATGTTTTAAATCTACTTGCCCTATTTTTTTTTTGCTTAGGATTTATTTATTTAACATGCTATCCCAACATGTATTAAGCAATAGGAATTTATATTTGTCATCAGTCCCTTTTCCTTGTAATCATTATTTACTGTGTTTCAGAAATTATACTGTCGTTAATTCCAAAATCATCGTGGTCACAATAAGGCCTGAACCCAAAACAACGGATTCGTTCCTGGAGATAGAACTAGCTCATTTGTCTAATGTAAGTATTATTCACTTGCTTGTAGAATTTGTCTTTTAAAGAATATTACCAGTCGTGTTTTAACCGATAAGACCATAACATATTTTCTAGGCTTTTTAGAGTTGCAATTTGTTATGAGGATATGTATTTATAGAAATGAAATGCCATATTATTTTATGCTTTTGTTCATTATAAAATTTTCTTCAGTTTACCTGAGATAATGGAAAATTGTTTATCAGTGAACACATCATTTTTGGGCTCTGAGCTAGGCAATGGGGGAGATCATGATGAATAAGTACACGTCTCACCACAAGGTAGAGAAGACTGCCATGTAAATACATAGATTTAATACAGGGTGGGGCAAAAGTAGGTTTACAGTTTTTCGCATAGAAAATAATACAATAATTAATAAATAATAATACAATGATAAACTTTGTGTTTCATGTACTCACAACTGTAAACCTACTTTTGCCCCGCCTTGTATTTTAGTGCTTGACAATATGACTCTCAAATTATTTTAAGGAATGACTAATAAAAAGAGAAGGAATGCTGAAAAAAAATAAAATTAAGGGAAGCTGTCCAACCAGAAGTTAATATATATTTCTGATTCAAGAATGAATAGGTCAATAGGCAAAAGGGAGAGTCCAGTAACCAAGTTAATATATGATACAGAAATCATATCATATCAGTGGTGAAAATAATTAATTATTATTATTTGGACAACTGTTTAATCACAAGAAAAAAATTAAGTAACCTAGATACTTACTATATATTAATGTAACCTCTGGAGACAGTAATATTTGAAAGAAATAAATATGGTATGATATAAGAATGCTGCCCTACAAACTTTTGTAATTGGCACCCTGGGAATAAGAATTGCAAGAATGCAAGAAAATACATGGGCAAATAATCATATATTCTTCAGGATTCTACACCAACAGCAAAGATTATAAGGAAAAGGAATGCCTTTACTACATAAAATTTAACACTAATCCTATCTAATAAAAGACAAAAAAGGGTAATTAACCATACCTCTGCTACGCTTCCCATTGGCCTGAGGGGTCCCGGATTTGATTTGGAGAGAGTTCTGGCCTGGCTGAGGGACCCACCCCCCATGCATGATTCCATGCACCAGACCTCTACTTTAAAGATAAATGGCAGAAAAAATACATTTTCAATATATTTTTCAAACAAAATATTTGTATATCATGTTAAAAGCTTTTATAAAACCTCTAATAAAAATTATATATATAAACTTACCAATAGTAAAGGAAGCAAAAGACAAGAATAACCTTGCAAAGAAATTATATAAGCAATAAATAATATTATGCCAATATTACTAGCATCATTATTAATGAAGAATTGCTTGTTGGCTACTATTTTTGTCATAGAATTGTCAAATATAAAATATTTATATTCAATACTAAAGTTGGTGACATTTTAGAGAAATTAGGCAATTTTATAAATTCTTGTTGAATAAACTATGCTAATTTTTCTGAAAACCTTTTAAATGTTTCAGCTTTTAACCATCAATTTTAAATATAGGAATTTGTTCAAAGGAAATAAAGAAAAATTTGTCAGCATTCTTACATAACTATTTATGATAGCAAATTATTTTAAAACCACCTAAATACAAAGTAGAAATACATTTATTGTCAAGTTAAAGATACATTAAGTTACAGGCAGTATTTATAGTTTATATAGGCTGGGACAAATGTAGTTTTACAGTTATCTATATGTAAAATAATACAATAATTAAAAAAACGAAGCACTGTAGGTCACACACAACAGTATGGTGATTACCAGCAGAAAAGAGTCAGGGAAAGTAGAGGAAGACGTAAAAGGGATAAGTAGTGATGGAGCGAGACTTGACTTGGGGGTGGTGAGCACATAATACAATATGCAGATGATGTATTTTAGAATTATACATAGTTTTATTAGCCAGTGTCACCCCAATAAATTCAATAAAAATGAATAAAGAAATAAAATAAGAATAAACTCGGTGTTTCATATACAACAGTAGGCCTACTTATGCTCCTCTCTATATGTGGGCAACAATAGAAGTTTTAAACATAAGACAAAGGGGAGTTAACTCTAGGGTGCCACAGAGTAGGAGAATGGATGGGCCGCATTTCAAAGTGCTAATTTAAGGGTCAGAAAAGGCTTCTTATAACTATCTAGGTGCTCCAGTGTTCTAAATCTAAATACTCCATTCCAGAATGACAAGAACCCTTTCTTAAATCCATACAACTGCAGCTGAAATTCTTTGCATTTTGTTCAGTCCTTTTTAGAAATTTAAAATATCTACTTATCCCTTATATAATCTCTTGGAATACTTAAGTCATTAATGAGGAGGGGCAAGGAAGGTGATTCCTGTTATGGTTTTCGTAATTATATGTTTACTAGAGGCCAGGTACACGGATTCGTGCACTGGTGGGGTCTCTCCGCCTGGCCTGTGGGGATCAGGCTAAAACTGCTCTCTGACATCCCCCAAGGGGTCCTGGATTGCAAGAGGGTGCTGGCTAGGCTGAGGGACCTCAATGGTGCACGATTGGAGCTGGGGAGGGACCGCGGGAGGGCTCCAGGGTATGTCTGGCCCATCTCGCCCAGTCTCGATCACCTGGACCCCAGCAGCAAGCTAACATACTTGTCAGAGCGTCTGCCCCATGGTGGTCAGTGTGTGTTATAGCGACTGGTCCAACAGTCAAACAGTTGGACACTTAGAATATTAGGCTTTTATTATATAGGATACTTCCAATATTAATGTAAGCCAGTCTCCTGTGTTGTATACACATAGGTGTTTTTTTTTTATTCCTTAAAAAAAATTTATGAAGTTGGCTTTTACATGCAAGTAACAGAAGCTCAAAGTGATTGGCATTTTCCCAAATTGATGTACTTAGTGAAGGCCATAATGGGATTTATAATCATATTCTGTTTTACAAAACCTATTTTGTAATTTCTGATTTTTCCTAAAAAAAACAAACAAAACAGCCTTGGTTTATAAACAATGACAATTATCTTTTTTTGTAAACCACTTTTTACTAAAATGTTTCAGGCTTCCTAAATTGCTTAATGAAAATATCAAATCTCTCAGCAATAACTTTTAAACATCATAATTAATAATTAACCTATTAGGTCTTTTCCTACTTTTGTCATACTGATTCTAACTTTGAGAGTGTGTTTGATCACACTACTCTCTACTTCCTCAAACCTTAGAATAGCCATGATTTCCTCACTGCATTGAAACCTGGGAAATAATTTTGACATTGCTTTTGAGTAAGGAATTTATTTCTTTGTATGCTCCAAATTTGTTAGCACTGGCAAGTGTGGCTCAATATGTACACACAGACATATACACATGCACATGTCCACATACCCATCATTAGGCTGCTTTGGTTCTGACAGGTCTGGACCTGCTGTGACTTGTTAAGGTGGATGATATCCCTTTAAAATGAGTTAGAAAAATCAGTTATCTTAGTGATCTGGTGCTTTATTAACATTGCAAGCTGTAATACACATTATTTTTCCAAATAAAAAGTCTTTCTCTAGTTCCATATCTCATGAAGAGATGGATTGGACTGTCTGGCCAGCAGTTTTTGCAGTCTAATCTTGTCATTCTTTTTATTTCTTGCTCCGAGCAACACCTCCAATGGCCTCGTTAGGGTGATACTGCTATCTTTCAGGACTGAAAAAATGGACCATGTTTATTTGTAATTTTCAAACTGCTCATATTCATAAAAGATCTCATGGGAATTTGGACTTGTGGGAGTGTGTATTTTTTGCCATATTTGCTTGCATATGAATAGGATCAATCTAACAAATTAAGGAGTTTGTTTTATGTGCATAAACTAAAATTAATCATCAACCATGGCCTTTGTAAATAATAGTGGGAAACACAATGGAAGACTGTAATGAATGTGCTTGTTAACATTAGATAAGTGTGAGAAACAATGAAAAGAGATTCCAACATTCATCAGTGGGTATTTTTATGAATATCAAAGGCTGATAATAACCTAAGAAATTAAAAATCACTTGGCAAAGCTTAGAGTCTAGGCTTTGCATCTATAATTTCTGCAAAGGATGTTTGTATACCTTTACTTTTATTTATTTTTATTTTTAATTTAAATTCTTTATTGTTTAAAGTATATGTCTCCTTTTTCCCCCATTGCCCTCTCCCCAGCCGCTCCCACCCCCCCAGCATATGCCCTCACCCCCCCTACTATCTGTGTCCAATGGTTATACTTATATGAATGCATATGTTTACTTTTAAAATTACTTTTCCACCCTTGTTTTTTGTCCATGTGGAAGAAAGAGATTTCTGATATTTTGCTTGTGTAAAGCTCTTGGTAATTTTAAAGGAGTGTCATGAAATGCTAACTAGACAAGAAGATTGATGGCTCTGCCAACAGCTGAAATTGAGATAGAATCATTCTCTACTTACAGCTATTTGGGGTGTATCCTAAATTTCAGTAAGCATTCTTCTCCATTACATTTCAAATTCTGTTTATTTTTATTCATAATACATAGCTAATATTCTTCAAAAAGATTTAGAATAATTATTCTGTTGTTGGAGAAGGGCTCAGCAAACTTTTTCAGTTAAGAATCACATAGTAAGTGTTTTAGGTGTCTGCGCCATAGTTGTTTCTGTCCCTTCTATTCACCTATGGCTGTTGTAGAGTGAATGCAGCTAAGACAGCATATAAACAAGTGGGTGTGACTCTGCAATAAATTTTATTTTCAAAAATAGGTAGCAGACCAGATTGATCTCCTGGTCCATGTAGATTGTCATTCCCTGTGTGGTAAACAGAATAATGACCCCCAAAGATGTTCACACTCTAATCCCCAGAATCTGTTAATATGTTATGTTACACATCAAAGGGGACTTTTCAGATGTGATTAAAAGTAAGGACATTGATGCCCAGCCAGTGTGGTTCAGTTGGTTGAGTGTCATCTCATGAACCAGGGGTCACAGCTCAATTCCCAGCACATGCCCAGGATGCAATCCCTAGTAGGGGGCTTGC